TGTGCCTCTCCCTCTCCCTCTGCCTTTCCCCCCCCACCTCTGCACTGTCCCTCAAGTAGCTTCTCTTTCCCCTCTCGTGAGAGGGCGGATTCTATTCTGTCAAATCTTTCTCTGATTCGTCACTTTGTCTGACACTCAGTTAGACATCACTTTCAAATATGGGTGCTTTCTTTTACAAACTAACTTCATTGTTTGGGATTAAAGGTAAGACGTGTCTATATTCCAACCAGAGGGATTAAAGGTGTGTGCTAAGGGCTGAGCCTCACCACAACTAGAAAAAGGTTTTTTAGTAAATAACACAATCTTGGGGCTCCCATTATGATCAAATATTCTGCAACACTGGCCATGTCAGCCAAGTGTTCTGCCACCAAGCTACAGTATTAGTCTTTTTAACTTCATTCATAAAGTTAGATACAGAGTGAGAGTATTAGTCTTTAACTTCATTCATAAAGTTAGATACAGAGTGAGAGTATTAGTCTTTAACTTCATTCATAAAGTTAGATACGGAGCTACAGTATTAGTCTTTAACTTCATTCATAAAGTTAGATATACTTGTTGTTGTTTTTCAAGACAGGGTTTCTTTGTGGAACAGCACTGCATATCCTAGAACTTGCTCTATAATCCAGGCTGGCCTCAAACTCACCAAGATCCACCAGCCTTTGCCTCCCCAGTACTGGGATTAAAGGTGTGAGCTGCCTTGTGGGTACTGGGAATGAAACCCAGGTCCTCTGCTGAGCCAGTTCTGAGTCCATCAATGCCATGGCTTGTTTTGTTTTGTTTTGTTTTGTTTTGTTTTGTTTTGTTTTTGGTTTTTCGAGACAGGGTTTCTCTGTGTAGCCCTGGCTGTCCTGGAACTCACTCTGTAGACCAGGCTGGCCTCGAACTCAGAAATCCACCTGCCTCTGCCTCCCAAGTGCTGGGATTAAAGGCGTGCGCCACCACCGCCCGGCTTGTTTTGTTTTTTGAGACAGGGTTTCTCTGGGTGTCCTGGAACTCACTCTGTAGACCAGGCTGGCCTTGAACTCAGAAATCTGCTTGCTTCTGTCTCCCAAGTGCTGGGATTAAAGGCGTGTGCCACCACTGCCTGGCAAGTAATGGCTTTCTTATGAGTTTATTATAGGTTTATTTATTTATTTATTTTATATATGTGAGTACACTGTCACTCTCTTCAGACACACCAGAAGTGGGCATCAGATCCCATTACAGATGGTTGTGAGCCATCATGTTGTTGCTGGGAATTGAACTCAAGACCTCTGGAAAAGCAGTCAGTGCTCTTAACCAATGAGCTAGTACCTTTCTTCCTTCCTTCCTTTCTTCCTTTCTTTCTTTCTTTCTTTCTTTCTTTCTTTTTTTTTAGAGATGGACTCTCACTGTGCTTCCTGTGTTAGCCTTGAACCGGACTCTAGCAATCCTTCCTTCTTCAGCCTCCTAAGTAACTGGTATAAGAATTATAACTTTCTCTTTGCGATTAAGTGTATATAGGATAAACATCAAAAGATAAAGTGCAAATTAGGTTTCTGTACTGTCCTGACCTCTGTCTCCCAGGTTCCCTTCCCAGAGTCATCCAGGGCAAATGGAGTGATCTCCGTGCCCATATCTTTGTTACCTGTGTATCAGATACTTTTCTCTTCCTGTGACAAAATAAATGGCAGTGGCAGACTAAGGAATGTGGTTTTGTCCTGGCTCATGGTCTGAAGGATAGAGGCCACATCTGGCTCACAGTCTGAGGGATACAGGCCACATGGTGAGGCAGTTGAGACACTCCGTGGGAGTGTGAGGTGCTGGTCACATTGCATCTGTTGTCAGGAAGCAGAGAGAGGCGAATGCTGGTGTCCAGCTTCTTTTCTTTTTATTCAGTCCTGGTCTCTAGTCCGTGGATAACAACAGCACCCACATCCCAGCCCATTCTCCCATCCCCAGCTAAACCTCTCTGGAAAAGCTCTTTGAAGATCTGTCTCTCAGGTGACCCTAAATCTAATTTAGTTGATGATGGAGACTAACTTCCCGGCCCTCAGTATCCATGGGGGATTGGTCCTAGCACTCTTTAAGACCCCAACGTCCATGGCTGCTCAAAAGTACCCACTCCACAAAGCCCCTGTCCCTTTATCATGTCTTGATGTCCTAGGATCTTCGTGTCTTCATGGAGGACTGTCTCCTGTCTTGGCTGAATGTGTAAGGAGCTGTCGTTGAACTTGTACACAAGGCAACAATTCTTCCCAAAGCCGAAGTTTGTGGTTTGCCTTGCTCCATGCTATGTGGCTCTATGCAGGTCTCATTGTTATTTAAGACCCAATTCTAATCCTAAGTAGTAGATTTAGGGCCAGAGGTCAGTGAGTGCAACTCACTGTGCTGTGTGTAGTGTTAGAACAAGTGGAAAGGGACTTGGCATGTGGTTCAGTGGTTAGAGCCTTTGTGTACCATGTGCAAGGCTCCAGGTTTGGTCCATTGTCAAGGTAACAGGGAGAGGCACATCAGTGCATTTTTCTGAGGCAGTATCCCTGGCCTTCACTGAGTTTTAAAGTGGGACACAAAACAGATGCAGGGCTTTGGGATCACTCCCTGGCACCACAAAAAAATAAAATAAAATAAGTCCCAGCCTCTGTTTTCAGGAGTGATGACTCTTCAGTGGTTAGGCTCCCCTAAGTCTGTTCAGCTCACTCAGCAATCGGGGAATTTGCTTGGATTAGCTTGAGCTGTGAGTAGCAGTAAACCCCAAGTGCCTGAGGCTGAACTGGTCAGGGAGCTCACTCTAGTTCTGTTTTAGTAACTCCATTGTCCAAGCCCAGAATGGGAGGCCGCTGCTGTCCTGTGCCGAGTTCAGCTCTTTTCTTTCCTGCCTGAGATGATACAAAGGGGAGTTCTGTTTTCCTGATATTGAAGATTTCCCAGCGATCTGTGTGTAGTGACACACGTTTGCAACCTCAGCTCTCTGGTGGTAGAGGCGGGAGGATCAAGGAGTTCAAGGCCAGGCTGGGAGATGCTGTCTTGAAAACAAAACAAACTAAAACCAAACAACAAAGACAGAAAACAAAACTAAACAAGCCGTCTAGGGAGATGACTCAGTAGATAAATGCTTGCTGTGCTAGCAGGCATAGGAACCTGAGTTCAGATGCCCAGCATTCACGGAAACCCAGGCACGGTAGCACATGACTGTAATTGTAGCACAGAGGAGGCAGGCACCTTTGAACGTGATGGCCAGC